TTAATTTAATTTAATTTAATTTAGTCCATTTTCACTGCATTAAGTTTTGCAGTGGGGAAGGACTAGAAAGGAACATAGGAACCATTCGTGCTAGTCCACCCTCCCACCCATCCCACCCCAGGGGAGGACATCCATCACACAGTAATCTCGTGTGTGGGAAATTAACGTCTCCTACCCCAACCCTGCAGGAGACGGGACCTCCATTTATTCGTCCCTATCCGAGAAGACTAGAATATCTAACCATTTCTTGATGTTATAGAAAGGCAGCAAATTCTTCTCAATTATTTTAAGACCCTGAGTGTTGGTCCGGCCGGGGCTCGAACCCTCGACCTCCCGCACAACAGTCCAGCGCTCTATCCTATTGAGCTAACCGGAACTTGGTATTTAGAGATCATAAAATTTGCTTACACCTATGGTTAGAAATTAAGTGTCACCTTTTCAGACGCTTTTAGCTGATAAACACAATGGAAGATTTCCAACCTCAGCAAAATTTGAGGTACAAGACTCTTTGTGGAATGACTCCCAAATATTTAAGATTTGTATTTCAAAATGATGTTACTTCCCACCAATTGAAGAATATGTTGAAAACAAATTGGCTCTTCCACAGCCCAGTGCACCAATCAATTAAAATGAAGTTTCTCTTATAGAGGTGCCAAGGTATATGGAACAGCCTATCCTAGGAACTAGATTCTGCAGCTTCCTTGAATGAATTCAAATACAAACTAGGTCATCACAGCTTCAAATGAAACTAAGGCACACTTTAAAAGCAACCTTAGGAAATGGCAAATTAATCTTATTTAATTAGTTTAGCTTGCCAGGATTACATTTTTTTATTTGTAAATTGTGTTGAGGGGAATTTTACCTTATATAAATAAAGTTATCAAACAATCAATCATGGAATAAAAGCAATGTGAGGGAACAATCTCTATTTTTCAAGTTCAGGTTGGGTGCTTTTTTAACTTAACCCAATAAAAAACATCTGGAGAAATCACGCATTTCATCAAATAGCAATTTTTCTTTTCCATAGTGTTAACTGGCATAAGATATCATAAGAACTTCATCTCGGTGACATAAATACTTTAGCATCATGACTGCTAATTGGGAACACTAAAACACTAGTGACTTACTCTATAAGAAATAAAAAAAAAAGTTGAGTGAAAATATAAGCTGAGCAATAGAGAAAACTACAGTAACTATAATTGCAAATATTTACATTCTGAAACTTACCATGTCCAACAACAACAACAATTTATTTCGCATTAGGGTGGGGGGTTACAATGATTAAAAATTACTCAAGAAAAAGAAAGAGAAAGAAAAACCTTACATAATTGACACTGCCCGCAAGTAGCACAGGCTAGTTGCAGCAGGCAGTACGTGACAACAATTTGTTAAGAGTCTAAAGCAAATTATAAATGAAAAGATCATTACAACTTAAGTATAAGAATAAAAAGAAAAGAAAAAGAACAGCAGATAAATAAATGCACAAATATATAAAATAATTAAATAAATTCATAAAAAGAAGACAATATAAACATACAAAATTAGCTATTTCAGGCACAGGGAGCAATTGAGGCTTGAGAAGATATCATAGGCTGCGAATTTTTTGGAGAAGAGATGCCAAATCGAAATAGTTATCCTCAACGGCCAGGATATTCAGAATTGCACAATGGATTTTTTCCTTAAACTGTTTATGAGTCAGATCACGTGTAGTGATACTCAGAGATTTCCACAGGACAGTTCCAAATCTAGCAACAGAATTCCACATAAGGTTTAATCTAGAAGGTTTAACAAAAATTTCCAGCAGAAGCTGATCTGGTGTTATATGAGTGTACTTTTCTGGAGTGAGTAAAGGAGTCACAGAGGTTTTCCGTTACATCGTCATTCGAGACATCATGCATGAAAACAGAGACAGTTTCGAAATAGAGTAGCTCTACCGGTAGAATATTAGATGTCACAAAGAAAGGAATTAAGAGAATGATCTCTGCATGGGAGGAAATGAATAAGGCATCTGTCACGTTTCTGTAACACCAAAATCTTATATAAAGTTGATTTAGTATCTTGACCCCATGCAATAAGGCCATAAGACAAATACGGGAAGATTAAAGATCTATAAAGGTTGAGGAGAACACTCTGGGGAACAAAATTCCAGACTCTCAATTCAAGTGAATTCACTTTCTAGAATCGGAACAAAAATATTGAATGAAATGTCTGTATCTTTTAGAAAACTTCCAAAAAATGTCTTCAAGAGGAAAATAAAACAAACACTTTTTGAGATCCCAGCTTCAGAAGATTGTTACATTGATCTTCCAGAAATCGTTCAAAAAGTTAAGTTGAATTTATCTTCCTCTTGATTGATCAGTTGATATGTATTCAATTATATCGTTTAGA